TCTATCTATCTATCTATCTATCTATCTATCTATCTATCTATCTATCTATCTATCTATCTAAATTTTGTTCTTTTTGATCTGATAATTGAACAAGAACTGTATGATAGCTTCGGTCCAGAATGGTGCTCATCCCAATTATTACAAATCCTGCAAAATACAATGCTATGTTACAATATTAATTACAATAGATGGGACTACTCTGTGTCTAATCTGTTGTAGAGTTTTGTGAATCGATGCCCCTTCCGTCATGCCATATGATGAAGTATAGTGAGAATGGAGGTGTTTCATTTTTAAGGAATTCTAAGAATTAGTGTAATTTGCTTTTATACTTAGAAAACAAAGTATTTGCCTTAGTTAATTCATCTCCTCTAGTATCCAACTGCCATTACATTTGAAAAAGAAACTGGGCACATTTGATTGACCTATCTGACAGAAGTAGCTAAATGAAGAATTGTAGGAATATTTTGTAGGAATATGTAGAAACGGCAGACCCGTTATTTGGTTGCAGGTGCTTCTGTAATGGTATACAACTAATAACGTGATATATTCTTCCCGTGATTAAAAAAACAGTGCCAACCATGCAATAGCCTGGAGGAGGAAGGACCCACACCCCTGGGGACATGTGATCACCCCTCCCCCGATAAATGCTCAGGAAGAATTGAATATGTGCACTGTGGTTCTATAAACCTGGATAGGGAAGAGGGTTAGAATAGAGCAGGGGTGTCAAACTCGATTTCATTGAGGGCCGCATCAGAGCTATGTTTGACCTCGGGAGGCCAGGGAGGGCGTGGCCAGGGAGGGCGTGGCCAGCTTGACATCACTCGTGTCGGGGCACCTGTGGTGGCCAAGTACTAAGGCAGGACTTCCCTCAGACCAGTGGCAGGATTCAAATATTTTTACTACCGGGTCTGCGGGCGTGGCTTGGTGGCCGTGGCAGGGGAAGGATACTATAAAATCTCCAGTCAGAGATGGTATTTGCCGGTTCTCTGAACTACTCAAAATTTCCGCTACTGGTTCTCCAGAACTGGTCCGAACCTGCTGAATACCACCTCTGCCTCAGACCCTCCTTCACTCTCATTATAATTTCCTTCCTTCCTTCCTTCCTTCCTTCCTTCCTTCCTTCCTTCCTTC